TAATTTTCCGAACTTTATTCTTTATTCACAAAATCGTATCGCAGAAATAGCCCATAAGGTCTTCGCTTTTACGCTGTATACATATAAAGAGCTCTTTTTTCCAGCTAATCTGAATATTCCTTTTTTTGAATGGAACGGTTCTTCAAAAATGTTATCTATTTCAAACACATAATTAATTAACTATTTTAATGCACTAAATTTCTTGTGGTATGAGAATATATCATCGGTTACTGATTACTTGCTACTCTATTGAATTTCACGTAGATTCAATGCAGATCGCGTCATTTCACCTGCGAGGCGAGTGGTTGGAACAAGATTCATGCTCAATATTTGCCTTTTATTCCGCCTTATTGTAGGCTCGAAATTATTCGATGAGATTTTGGCGGTGAACAATCGAGTGAAACTTATATCCTGAAATTTGACAACTGTCCTTTGCCAAATGTTCGAAACCGTCCGAGTTGTTAGTGTGAAGCAGAAGTGGTTTATACCGCATTGTATTTCTATGATGAAAAAAACAATAGCACCAATACGATGCTCATGAATAGCAGAGTGGTTTTGAATGCCCTGTCATCACCATGATTTACGGAATCAGTTTCGGCAAATGCCCCACTTGTGTCTAATCAGGCCGGAAAGTCAAAGTGATGGTCGACTTAACTCCAAAATTGAGCACAAGGAAACGAGGGGCGTTTAGAACATCTAATATCAAAGATGTAGCGAAGAGAACAAAAGATAGCCGACTCAATGCTTACTACTTTTTCGTATGAACAACTCTTCCTCTCTTCAGAGGACGCTTAAGAAACACGGTCGAAGAGGATGGAAGGTCACTCGGCTTCATCGAACGCACACTTGAGATGCGAAATTTACGCATCTGTCTACTTATCTCATATCTCGCAAATGCCAAAAACAACCCGAAGGTCCAATCTACACGTCAAAATATGGAAATAGATGAACCAAAACACAAAATGCAACAGAACAATAGTTGATGGACAAAAAGTGTTGGCGTACGGGTTCAGAATTCCATGGGCAAAGTGGAAGGTTATCGATTAGATGGTACGCTTATCTCGAAGACTTCGGAAAAACGGAAAGGTATGATAAATTGACGACACCAGATAAGAGTAATCAAATGCACAAACCACCGTCCATTCAATAATATTTTCACTTAATGGAGTAATGGAGCGTATAAATAGTAGGTCTGCGCCTTCTCATGTAAGGGTTGAGTTCCCCTCCCTCCCCCCCCCCCTGAAAGTATTAGCTAAAGACGAAGAACCTGCCCAACCGACTATGCTCTCATGGGCGAAACACATGTATTTGACTGTACAACTTCCTATAGCAGGCAACATTTATGGCCCAGAAAAGAGTAATTACCAGTGTATTTTGTTTTCTTCATGTGCTCTGTCTATAATATATGTTTTCCGATGTCTTCGAGATAAAGCGTGCCATCTAATCGATAACCTTCCGCTTTCCCATAGAATTCTGAACCCGTACGCCAACAGTTTTTGTCCATCGACTATTGTTCGGTTGCATTATGTGTTTGGTTTATCTCTTTTCGATATTTTAAAGTGTAAAATAGGTCTTCGGTTGTTTTTGGCATTTGCGAGATATGTGATAAGTAGATAGATGTGTAATTTCGCATCTCAAGTGTGCGTTCGATGAAGCTGAGTGACCTTCCATTCTCTTGGACCGTGTTTCTTAAGCGTCCTCTCAAGAGAGGAATAGTTGGTGATACGAAAAAGTAGTAAGCATTGAGTCGGCTATCTTTTGTTCTCTTCGCTACATCTACGATATTAGATGTTCTAAACGCCCCTCGTTTCCTTGTGCTCAATTTGGAGTTAAGTCGACCATCACTTTGACTTTCCGGCCTGATTAGACACAAGTGGGGCATTTGCCGAAACTAATTCCGTAAATCATGGTGATGACAGGGCATTCAAAACCACTCTGCTATTCATGAGCATCGTATTGGTGCTATTGTTTTTTTCATCATAGAAATACAATGCGGTATGAACCACTTCTGCTTCACACAACAACTCGGACGGTTTCGAACATTTGACAAAGGACAGTTGTCAAATTTCAGGATATAAGTTTCACTCGATTGTTCACCGCCAAAATCTCATCGAATAATTTCGAGCCTACAATAAGGCGGAAAAAAAGGCAAATATTAAGCATGAATCTTGTTCCAACCACTCGCCTCGCAGGTGAAATGAAGCGATCTGCATTGAATCTACGTGAAATTCAATAGAGTAGCAAGTAATCAGTAACCGATGATATATTCTCATACCACAAGAAATTTAGTGCATTAAAATAGTTAATTAATTATGTGTTTGAAATAGATAACATTTTTGAAGAACCGTTCCATTCAAAAAAAGGAATATTCAGATTAGCTGGAAAAAAGAGCTCTTTATATGTATACAGCGAAAAAGCGAAGACCTTAAGGGCTATTTCTGCGATACGATATCGTGAATAAAGAATAAAGTTCGGAAAATTAGAATGCATGGTTCAGTTCATTCTCTAGTGATGCGCCATGCATTAGAATCCATTCGTAGCAAGGCAGGGATAATTGAATGCGGAATTGGCGGCGCACACTCGACTTCCTTCGTTTCGAGTGCTTTCTCAAGACCACGCTCAAATTTCAATATTCCTCATTAATCTTTTTGAGTCATGCATGTGGTCCGAAATGGGCACTTACACAGCTCAATACACGTGTTTCGGCCTTGATAGCCTCGTCAGTTGCACAGTGCTTTTCGTCTTAGACAATCCTTTTCGAGTAAACGCAACCCTTTACAAAGATAAGGCGCATAGAGTGAAAGAAATCACTAGATGGCCAATGTTTCGCATTCGATTGCCCTTGACTAGTATTTATGAAATACCACACCATTTGTTTGATCGTGAACTTGGCCTTAAGAAAACACTCGAAACGAAAGGTATGATATTTCATGAATAGTAGCCAAGGGCAGTCGAATGTACAACATCGCCCATCTAGTGATTTCTTTCCCTTGATGGCACGTTTAAATAGTACGTCTGTGACTAGTCTATGTAAGGGGTTGGATTCCTTTCAAGAGAATTGCCTAAAACGAAAGGCACCGCCCAACTGAGGGAGCTGCCAAGGCCGAAACACGTGCACTGGGCTGTATAAATAGCCATAACAGGCCACATGCATGTCAATTAATTATCAGGCACTCGCCTTCATTATGCGCTGTTGGAGATCACTGAAGAAATAACCCACCATCAGGTGGCCAAGTGTGGTACTAAATTAACCACTGCGGTAGGATGGAAGACCTGGTGAGCGTAAGATTCGAAATCAAACCAATGACGGCATGCGCTTCGCAAGGCACCCCTAACCACTTTGGCATTCGAATTCACAATTTTTACTTTGGTAGCCGTTCAATCTCACGCGATCTCTTCATTCAGCTTGAGCGAGTATAAGCTGCGTATTTCGAATTTCTTTACTAAAATTTAGCCACTACGGTTCTTTCAAAATCCGAAAACCATTCAATGTAACTATACGCTTTATCCACATAATCTGCACGTTTCTCTATAAAATAATCTATTGTACAAATGAAGAGAAAGAGCAAAGGGCACTGGCGGAGTGGTTGGTGTCAAAGGCCGCCAAGAAGCTGGTGCTGGTTTGACGCTCCTTCTTCAAAATTCCTCTGCAATTACGTGAGAAACGCTTTAACTTAGCTACCTCCAACCTCCGATTACAAGGAGAATCGTCGCCAGCTCCATTCTACGGCATTCTCGAACGAGATGAAATCCTTAAGCAACAGTCAGTGCAACAGAGCAAACGGGAAGTGTTCCAAGGCCTTTGGGACAATACACGCGAGAAAACGAATGTGATACCAAAAGTACTGTGTTTCACTCAATGCATGTGATGAAGAGTGGTGTAAAACAAATAACATGTAGAAGTGAATGATAATCTGTTCGAAAATACAAATCGTTTCTATGCAAGAGGTTAGACCTCCCTTGTGCTGTTCACGTGAAATGACAAGTGAAATATTCTTCGTCAAAGAAAAAACGTACTAAAAAAAGGTGTAACTTCTGAGTTCCCTTCTAAGAAATGGAGACAAAACAAGGAACAATTAGTGCTGCAACGAAGAGAATATTTTCATTTCAGCGCTAAGTTTATGTGAATGCTATAAAGATCTTACTGGTATGTCAATAGGACTACATTAATAGATATTCCTGTAGTCTCAACAATTCGAATGAGCCAAAGGTCAGTGACCATATTCAAAATTGCATGATGACAACTCACACAGGTGAACAAAGGATTATTCGTTCTGATGGATTACAACTTTCTCAAACCTATCCATAAGTTAACAAATTAGTTTATATATTGCGAGGATGGAGAAGAAATGGTTACATGAGTGTCAGCGTGGGTGAAAACTGCAGTGGTTAGAGGTTCCTACGACATTTGTGGTGGAAGGCTCGATCCTGAGCTCAAGGCTCAGCAACTTTTGCGTCGTCGCGAGTTCGACGAGACGATGCCATACTCGTCTTGGAGTATAGCAGTTTTCACTTCACATATCGGTAAGCCGTGGCGTGTCATTACTGTAAAGGGCAGATGTGTATCAGTCACCTCAAACGAAAATTGATGAAGTCAACTGAATGCCACACCTCCGAGAGATGATCATTGCTGAGTACTCTATAACTTTCAAAGTCGGTAAGGCCCAACTGTTGCAGGATCCGTAGGGCATCGTACATAATTCTGATGTTAAAATTTGTACGGATTGAAATATCACTTCAATCCACGCTGTGGCTTTGCTGATATAAAGATCATTCAAGGAAGTTTTTTTGACGCTATAGCTACCATCCACCGCACTTAAAGATATAAACAGATGAAGAAGAGCTCAAAGTTATAATAAAATGATTTCCGATTGATTGTGAACTACTATCTGTCATCATAAGTGGGTTCAATGTCGATAGCGGCTGCTCCGCCAGACTGTAGACAGTTGGCTGTTGACAGATGAAGCGCTGTAGCGTAGAAAGAGTGGAATGCAAAAGGAGCGTCGGTAGTCCCAACGGTTAGCACCATGCTCCCGGAAAGAGTAAGATTTGGGTTCGATTCCCGGCTGACGCAAACATTCTTGCAAACTACTCTACATCATTGGATATAAATAAAGTTTAATATTCACTGTCATAGCATTTGTAATGATATGACTATATAAAGCGAAACATGAGAAGAAATCCGTTGTAAAAGCATTAACGTGACAATATAAATTGTCGCTGCAGCTGTTTCTTAAAAAAAGAGAGATTTCCTACTTAATCAGAATGTCTTTGTTCTTTTCCGTTTCTGCAAATGATCATTATACAGAGCGAGCGACCACGATAGACAGTATTCACGTGAAAATCTTGGCGCAAACATTGTTTAATCAGTTAGAACGTCTTCTTTTTCCATTAACACATGAATCATCAGCCACTATAAATTCCCATAGATGTAGTGGATAATGTGAAGTTTCGTTTCGTTTGTTTCCGTATCGTTCACTTTCATTACTACCGAGGATGCGGTTATCTTACAAAGCTCTATCTATATCCGTACAAAATCTACCTACCATCGCTAAACGCTCAGTCGAACACTTTCGGCCACTTACCCCTGTTAGTTGTACTAAAGCCAAGCTGCTGAGGCCAAGCACTAAAAAGTACATAATAAGCATAACATGAGGAACTCAAAATCTGTCCGATTTGTTTTCTTTTGATTGCCGAACTCGCTGAGAAACTGCCAATTTTGATAGCGTAGAAGTTGCTCGCGCGTTATAATGTAATGGTTAATTTTCGATTTGCTTCAGTGAATACATTCTCACCCTAGATAGTCTTTTTCTGGAAGCTACCATTTTCTGTTTCAATAAAGCATCGCGACAATGTTTTCAATGGTAAATTATTCTTCCAGCAACACAATATCACTTGTCTTTTAGAGGTGTCCGTTCTTTCGCTACAAAATGCCCGTCATCCTTCTTGCCGATAACTACAACGTTACTCGTGATGACATTGAACAGATTGCTAGACTGAGTACTATAGATAGTGGTAGGTTCCATATGATTATATGTATTTATCACTAAATAATACAGAATACTATAGAAAAGATATGACAATTCATATTGTTGTTACTGCGTTTTGTTAGATGGTCATTGAGTAAATTACAATAATCGATTTTGGTGTACAAACGATGCAAAGGCACGAGGAGCGCAGTAGTTAGAGCTGCCTTACAAGGCACAGGGTCGCTGGTTGGGCCGTGCACACAGAACAAACAGAAATGCCTGCCCATCGGCAATCGACAGATTGAGTTATAATTGCCTTTGAGAATGATCACATTATGTAAGAGCCTCTTATGTATTCCATCCTTTCGGCGACGCAACTGTTCGAGATGAGAGTGTCGTTCGATGGTACGTGCCAAGAGATTTCATGTTTCATCCGAAGTGTTAAGTTCGTTTGCGTAAGTGGCGTAAGAAAAGAATCTTTCGTGTATTACGCTACACTTGTAGTGCATATTGTGCTATGAACTCATCCAAAACACCGGTGTCATTAGTAAATTTGTTGTTTCCTTGGTTTAGTCCAAAACCTAAAATTGGATGCATATTCACGTGTAATACAAATGACATATCAAAAACGTCTCTGGAAAAAACTAGGCTATGACTTCTATTCTCCGCCATTCGCATCTCGTTTAGATCCACTTTCCAGTCAAATCTGGTTTCCAGTCGTCACGAAGTCTTTACGAAACATGTATTAATTACCATCAATCACAACTCAAGAATGGCGGCGATTATTTTCTCAGTTTCCAATCATTATCAATTCGTCTTATCGATAGAAGGTAGACGTCTTTTCAAGAAAAAGGTATTTCGAAAGTGCCAGATTCGAAGAAATAGCGCATTTAATCTGAATAAGTGAGCTCATCTTTGATAAATCGTGTAAGGTTTCACAGAGCGTGAAAACAATTCGTAGCATTGAAAATGTGATCGTCCACATATTTGCTGCGTAGACCGTTGGGGACCACCACTGTGTTAAGTAAGTTGTTACTGATTCTTAGAATATTGTGCGGAATCGTCGACCACCAAGGGATATAATGATTGGTTTGAACGAGAGCGAGATTGAACTATAGACAATGCGTGCATAGCTCGGATATTCTAACAATGTCTCTAGGTACACTACGTCATTCTCAAAAATTTATGGGTTATGGCTTATCTAAGAAACTCATAGAAAACACTTATGACGGTTCATGAAAAGTACATTGTACTTTTGTTATGATTCTAGGTATCTCGTCATACACTTCGGCGAGTTCAAATAAGGTAATTTTTTTCAGAACGATGGAACCAGGAACAAGCGCAGACAATTGTACTAGGTGCTCTATTGGTAGTGATAGCGCTTCTGATGTTAGCTGTGACTGCATTTGAATGCTACAAGATGAAATTTTTTGGACTCAGTTCACGACTTGAATCAGTGGAAAGGTACGTAAACCTCCATTTTTTTTATTTTCTGCATTTTTTGATCGTTTTCATAATCTGCGAAAATTTTACACCCTAGTCCGATGACATATTAACGCATTCTCTAATCTTTAAAGCAGCATTTGTACCAGTTGTCCAAAACATTTTGCTTATCACATCTGCCCTTTCTCTATCCTGAATTGATTATCTGTAAGATATCCGTTCATCGAGCGCAATAAAGGCTAACTACGATCTGATCCACGTTGACAGTCGAGAAGTTGTCACTTGAACGTCAACGATTTGTGAGTCATAGGTGAAATTTACAAGATCAACTGGCAAATTTTGTAATTAGTAGTACGTACTCTAGCACACCTGTTCATGTTCTTTGACCCGAAAACGTGGCTCGTCAATTTATATTTGGGAAAAAATAATTCATCAGCTTTTTGCATAGGTGATAATTTCAACCCGAGGAGTTCTAAGTGACATGGAGAATGATGTTGCTAAATGTGTAGGACAATAATGGTTTGAGGTGGAGAGCAAAACACACCCCGGCTCCGATTCGTTAGCGCGCTCCTCCCCATTAGGCTTCCGAAATCTCATGGTCGACCATTTGTTACCAGTCTCGTATTCAGACATTGCAGCACTTATAGATTTCATTAGTAGATCATTACAAGTCACTGTGTTGGCCAGATGTGCATACTCAATGAAGCTTGGCGCATGACGCATCCCTCATTATTGATCAACAGTGGAACCTTTATCCATTGTCCCTTCTATGAACGAAATATATACATAACCTTCAAAGCTGGTTTCCAGCAGCTGTAGTTCTCCAAGTAATCAAGAAATTAATAGCCGCGAAGGCTTTACCAAGAGTGCAATATCAAATCTATGACTCTAATCGTCTACGTAATTTCTACGCAGGGTCCTCTCAGAAATACGTTTAGAGATGGGACACTGAAAAACCAACAAACATGCCCAAGTCTTCCGACCAGTTTTGAATGAGGTGAACTTTAGTCTCTGAAATTTGATGGAGACTATTATTTGGTACCAAAGACACAGCATCCAATGCATCCACTGTGTTATTCGCTGAAACAAACAACAACTTGCTGTCAGACAAACTTTTCAAAGCTGCCAAATAAAATATTTACGCTTACACGTCAGAAAATCTGTTGTGAATTCACTATTGGCGTTTGTTTCAGTGGCACCAACGGAAATAACGTCGCCATACTCGTCATCTTCCTCACTTGCAGTACTGGTGAAGAAGACCAGCTCGTAAACAATCTACATATATTATCGAAACTGCAATTAATAATACGGGATTGGTTATAAGACGCAGTGGAAAGTTTTGTAATAATTGGTCCATCGAATGGCTACTGTTCTTCGAAATACCACGCGATTTATAAGGTATTTATCTTCACTAAAATTAGTATTTACCCTTGCCTGACCCAAACTACTACCAACGTCTTGACCTCATGCCTTCACTTGTTGTAAAATTTAATTGTTAAGTCTTCCTCATTCATGCACTGTGCCGTTATTGCTCCTTTGTCCTGCACTATGTGCCCACTGGCAAAGTCAATACTAATACCTTCTACATCTCCGTGCTTAACTATTCTCACCTTCTGCTCTACGATACCCGCTACAGACATAAGTTTTCTCGGTTGCCGTGTATCGCATCGATTTTGCAGAATATTTGTATTCTTTCATCTCAAGCTAGGGCGAGAAAGTTATACGTATTTTCATGGTGTATCTGTTATTTCCTCTTCTCGATCTTGCTCATCGTGTGCACACCCTGGTCCTCTCCGTCATTCATTCGCACACGACACGTAGGACACGCCACCGATTTGTTGCTACGTTCTTGTTATCATCATACCGTTGTTGTTGCACTGATGTTGTTGTTAAAGATAAAACGTCTATTCATTCATGTTCAATTTTAGCTTTGTGGTAACAAAGAATTCCGAGTCAAAAGTCGCAGAAATACGAGCATACCATTCTGAGCTAAGTGAATCAGTTAGAATCTTCGGATTCGTAACTTGTCGTCATTTCACGAATTATTCCCCATAAATCTGATGAAACATATTTCAAATATCTCATCAGAATACGCTAGCGAAGCCAGCAGATCTGCGAACCTGCAGGATAGGCGATCCTGAAGCGGTTGATCTACAAAAAATACGTTCACATTCATGATACCTTGTATACATGTCAGTGTTTTTTGACAAGCATAATTTACATCCTGTCAGTCTCTCAAGCGAATGCTGTAAACATAGTAAGAGCTTAGAGTGAGCGACACGTTAATAGAAATAATGTCATTAGAGCTCTCCAAAAAACCACAAAGGTTTTTGATCGAATCCGACGTCAACAGCAAAACACCACAACGCGACGTATAGTAAAGAGTTGGAACAAGTGAGAAAAGACACTTAATTTGTTTGTCAAGGCTGCAGTCGATCTAACCATTACTTATTGTTCACCAATATGCTTCATTATAAGAAAAACCATTGTCATGAGTGATAAATATATTAATTCACTTGCACCACGTCTGTCGCTATTTCTCTTTCAACTCGAGAAGGTAATCATTTTGCAAATGGTATCGTACAATCACTACTAACGGAAGATTTCTTTGAAAAAATCAAGCATTTGTGGAATGTCCTTAGTATAGTCAAAGCTACCTTTA